TAATAATAATTATATACATATATATATAATTATAACATTACAATTCCAACTTTTTCACTTGTTGTATCTTTACATCTCCAATTATACATATAATAATTTAAATATCCATCACCTGCACCAAATTTAAGATCACTAATAAATACTTTATTATCCATAATATCAAGGCAATTAAAAACATCAACATTTTTCTGTTATAAAATGTGGGAAAAATTAAATTAATATATATATATATATATATATATACAAATATTATATAATGATATTATATATATTAAATATACTAAACTAATTTAGCCAAAATCAAAGCATCTTTCATTAATGACCGCAATTTTCCTTTAATTCCTTCTTCATCTGTTTCTTTAATTGCATAATAAAAAAGATAAACTGCATTTATAGTTTTATGTGTTGGATTACCAATAACTGATGAAGGTAAATAATAAAATGAAAAAAAGTCTGTGATTTCTTTAGTTTCTGTATCCTAAATGATAATATTTTAAAATTAGAAATGTTCAATTAAATATATTGCAATAATCTTATTAATGTTATCATCATCATTATTAATAACAATAATAACCTCAACAACATATGACCAGACAACATTTTCTCTGGGTAAAATCCAATGTTTGATTTCATCATCATTTTTAAATTCAGGCACAAAATCAAATTTTTCCATGTATGAATTTAATAAATTTCTAACTGCTGAAGCATCTTCTTCTAACATTTCTCTAATTCCAGGTGTTACAGTTTTAGTTGACACTTTATATTTTTTAACATATCGTGATAATGGCATGTTTTGTGGTAAGCGTGAAAAATTTGTTTCAACCAATTTCTTTGGATTAAGAGATCTATGAAAATATCTAAAATAACAAAGAAACTATCAATTAATGGCTCATTAAATGATAATTGTAAATCAATTATTTAATAACCAAGGTATCATTTATTATACCTTGCCTTGGAAATAGGTTTTGGTAATACAACTCCAGCAGTGTAAACAGCTTGAAATATTCCTTGTAGGTGAGATCTACGTGTAATTTCTTTAATTAACACAGGTGCTAATCTTTTACTTCTAAGTTTCTTGTGAACACACAAGAAATTAATTTCAACAAGATTTTGTCTACTACAAAATTAAAAAAAGTAAAAGTAGAAAAACAAGAGGAAAGGAAATTAATTCAAAAATTATTTATTATAATAATTAATTGATTATTATTTAAACTTACGAATTATATATTCTAATATTTCCAGGAATCCCACTCACAAATGCAACAAGTTTTTTTGATGCA